GCTCTGCCGTGACAGGTAGGTATGTTCAAGAGCCGCAGCGAGGACTGCTCGTATTACAGGGAAGACGTATACGAGTTACCGTGGGTGTACCTCTCTCACAAAGCCTCGTCCGTGCCGGTGTGTCGGCGTTAATGAAACACGTCCACCGTTGGCAATTGTCCCGCCGCAGGCACGACAGCGGCCGTCCGAACGTAAAAGGGAGAGGCGCTAGCTGGCTGGATGCTGTATTCCGCTCCGTTTCCATCAGGTTGCATCTAGCAGCCCGAGGTCCGGCTACTCTCCAGCGTTTCGTGAATTTAGATGAGCCCGGCCTGTCCGGCTTAATTCGCGTGCACCTCATAAGAAGCGAGTCATAATCTCCCTCTCGCACACACGCGCTCTTTATTTTTGTTCCGTTATTGGAGTAACGTCGCAGCCGGTGACCGTCGCCCGCTTTTTTCGGTGTAAAAATGTAACTGGTTCGTTGCACGCGTCAGCTTGGCGAACGTAAAAATATATCACGTTTCTATATTTCAGACTTTCTGTAATATTCATCGTATTTATTGTCCTATGTTCGCGCAATCGTACAAGTACGAATAATTGTTGCAGATTATGTGCAGACACAAATCATACAGTTTTGGTCTTTAAATTTTTGTAAAGATTATACGATAATTAGACAACATCAGATGTGTGTACCATTACATAATACACTTTTATTCGCTTTTTGTTTATTAGAGCGTACGACACACTTTCAAAGGGTTTTCTAATTGTCACATACAATTTCTGCATTAGTTCTACTTGAGCTTCACTAATAAAACGAGCAAATGCGTCGTCGGTACCAGAAAACCCTCTTTCGCGTTACGTGTTTTGTCTGAGACGTAGGAACGACGACTATGCTGCTGTAGAAAAACGCCTGCGGAGAGCTCGGGTCACGTACAATAGCGCGATAGCGTAGTCGTTCTCTTCCCATTTTCTGTCTTTCTTTTTCTTCCCATCACGCGTTCACGCTCATCCTCTTTCGTTTCCTCATTCAAGTCTCGACTGTTCGTTTTCCCCACCCGTATTCAAAGTGTAAGAGCAAAAGGAAGACGCGCATGCACAAAGATCACATGCCGCCCAGATTGAGGCTGCAGGGTAAACGTTCCTGTTCCCTCTATTTTGCTTCTGAGCGTTTTGTCTCTCCTCCGCCTTCGGATCTCCGGTTTGCTCTCTCGCTTTGAGCGAATCTGCGTGAAAATGAGAAGAACGTCTAGTACGAGCCACACTGGAAGGAGGGCGAAAAGGAAATATATTGAATGTGTGTTATGCGTGCACGTGCATATGATGTGGACAAGTGAGAGTCTAGGTGAGACAGACAGAGAGAAAGAGAGAGAGAGAGAGAGAGAGAGAGAGAGAGAGAGAGAGAGAGAGAGAGAGAGAGATTAGTGAGAGATAACCATGGCGTGAATATCAGAGTCCTTCTGATGACGGCGAGGTCGAATAACGAGGCTTCGCCATCTACGATAGGACACGATTTGAAGTTGAAAATTAGTTCCGCGTCACTGAGCTTTTCCTGCGAGGCCAGACGACGATCCTCTGACGAGTACCGGAAGTGAGTTATGATAGTCTATCGAAGTAAGTTCGTTACCGATGAGATTCTTGATTTTCTATTTATCCAGAGACCGTAAGGCAGCTAGGTAATAAGTCTCCCGTAGCCGTTGCTTCTTTTTCCCGGACGAAATTAGTTCTTGAAGGAAATATATTGCGGATGCCGAGGTAAATACTGAAAAATCCTGGCGCTTCAGGTAATCTTTTTTCTATTACGACCAGCAATTTGCGACGGGGCACGATAAATTCGCGTGAGCGAGTGAATTTTAACACTTATACGTGGTAATATCATAATGCGGGCATTGAATAATGTTCACGGAAAGATAGAGTGTTGGACGATGAAGCGCTCGCGCGCGAAAATTCAAGATGATTACGACAAAAGCAAATAAACGACGAAAAAAATCATAAAATCATGGAAGAATCAACATAATTAGAAATGAGATTTGGATCTTACTAGAAATGGAAGAAAGAACTAACAGTGAATTTTACTGAAAACAGGAAATGTAACTAAGTGCGTTTTAATGCGTTTTCTCACTTGATCGTAAAATTCGTTCAATTCATGTTATTATATATTAATATAAATATACGTTTATAAGTGTGTACTTTCATTAGCATGGAATAAAAATGTAATAGAAACCAGGACAGTGGAGAATGCGGATCTATCGATAGTATTTGAAAAATGAATCGCGCTCGTTACAATTGATTATGACTTACCGCGCCGTTTCGGTAAGTGGAATAAATGCACTCGCTTTATTGTACATCCATTAAAATTCCATTTACCAATGGCAGCTTATGGTTCATAGGATAATAGCTGCAGCAGCACTCGATGTCCAATAGAATAGCTTTAACTACCGATTTACCGTCTTCAATTATGCTGTTTGATCGATTTAATATGAAATTTCTTCTGCCTTTGTGACTAATTCCCAAGTCATTTTATCAAAATTCTTAGAGATATAAGAATATATATTACAACTATTATATTATACAATTGTTTCCATTTGGCAAGTTTTGTTACATAAATTCGTGTGACTATTACAATATTGTCTTATCGGTATTTCTTCTTGCGTATTTTTATCATAGAGCACAATGAAGATTGAACATACTGTATCTATATTTCTCAATTATCTATATCTACACTACTTCAATAATTTTTGTGAGAAATATACGTTTTTTATGGAAAACGAAAACCAAAACCGTTCACGAAATGTACTTATCTAATATCAATTTAAGATTACGTCGATAGAATCTGCGTAGTTTCGTCGCCACAAGCAAATCGCTTAACCGCCGTGATGTATTTTGACAGGCTAATGGATATCGCGTACGGATTATCATGCTAAAGAGACGTTAATTAACACGTCGCATCCAGTAATGGCCGTTCAACCGGGACAGAGGTTCTCATATATGCAATGCCCGTATCATGTACAGCATTTTGAAGAGATAAAAGGAGAACGGAAATTAACATCAATACTGTGAATATCGATGAAATAAGTCTTATATCTTCGCAAATGTAGTACGTTTGACAGAGATAATTAAATATGATGATCATAGATACACAATGCAAATGTTATGAGAATAAAATAATTAAGATATGTTTTATGTATAAAATTTTTATATTTTTTATTATTAATTTTTTATTATTAATTTTTTATTATTAATAAAATAGTTTACATATTGATTTTTTAATTATTTGAGATTTGTCAATCAATTGTTATCTTTAATTAGGTTAATACATATAATATAAAAAATAACATTAAGAATACATAAAGACAGTTCTCTCTATAAAAGATTGTAATGTCCAAGATGATTAAAATAATTATACAAGAAATTCAAACTGATTGCTAAAATATCAAAACTTTTTACAGCATTGCTCATCATACTTGAGATTTCAAAATTATTTTAATTTAAATACTTAAGTAAAATTGTACACGGAAAGAACAATTTTGCTGAAGTATCTAAATCAAAATAATTTTAGAAATCTCAAATATGATGAGCAGTGTATAAAAAGTTTTAACGTTTTAGCAATTAATTTGAATTTCTTATGTAATTATTTTAATTCAACAAATGTCCTACATAATTATTTTAATCCAAAATTAATCCTAAAATTATTTTCAGATCTGTATCTAGCTAAATCTTTAGATACTTCAGCAAAATCAAATCTTTCCATGTAGAATACTTTGAGAGTCTGTTAGGTTAGATATATCATCTTTCTACTTGATGTAGTTGTTAAAATAGAATTTCAAATTTGTGCTTTTATTTAATTAGTGCATTAATAGAAGTTTAAAGTTGATATTCAAGACATATTCTAGAAAATCGTTTTATGACATTATTCTATAATCAAAATTTATAAAAGTATGGTGAAATAGTACTAGATAAATATAGGAATCATTTTATGTTTTTCATGGTTTTATGTTTATCCATCGGATTAAAATCAGATGGCAGTAGCTGTATCAATTCGTAACTTACTATGCTGAATAAGCCAGAAGGGGGAATTTGAATTAAGTTCAGGAAATCGAGTCGCATCGTGGAGTCTCCTAATTTCCCCTCGACATATGTAGCATATAAATATATATAAAAAAAACATTAATATTTAGCTACGTAGTAATTATAAGTGAGTCAGAAGATATTCTATTATAAAATAGCGTCACATGTATTCATGATGGCAAATGGAGATTAGTACAATGATATATACGTAAGATTAGCACAGCGCAAGCTGCATTGAACGCTATATCGGGCAATCCGTCTTTACAATGTGACACGAAATGACGAGATTTATTGGCAGAAAATAAATTTCGTTGTAGGATTTTTCAATATTTCATCTTCAATTCCAACCGTATAACGCCTGCATAAAACCCACGCGAGGCGTCGAAAAGAATCGAATTTTGGCATATCACACAAACTTAAAATGAAATTCAATTGAAAAGTCTGATAATTTTTTTACAGTATCGTGCATCGAAATAAATTACAATATCGTATCTTGTTGTGTAAAATGAAAATGTAATCATTTCGCAAAAGTAAAAATGCAGAAGAGAAAGAAAGAAAGAAACAAAGAACAATTTCTCTTCGAAGATTTTTTTATGTAAATTAAAAAATATATAAATATTTTTATAAAAATATATACATATTTTTATAAAATATATATATATTTGTAGTAACATAAAGTATGAATGTAATAATATAACAAATTTTACAAATTTAAAATTAGCGTAATATTATATTAAAAATTATACAATATTTATTTCATTGACAAATTCATTTTTAGCTGTCCGATAAATATATATTCACTAAGTGAACTTAAATATTCGTATGTAAATATCAAGGAAGAAATTTGAAAAATTATCTAATATCTGCAGACGTGCAGTCAATTCAGGCTTACAGTATCCGAGAAAGAAATCTCGGGCGCGATTCGATCGATGACCTAGCCAGACGGTACCTACCTCTATGCCACGTCGATTTCTCCATCGCACCCACTTGTTGAACCCTGGCCGCCAATACTCGACAAAGTACTCCTCGGTGTACTCGACCCCGTTGCCATTGCCGAATCTGCCTTGCGTTTTGGTAGACGTCAGTAAACGCGGAGTATGCAGATTCACCTCCAGGTACTCCTTGCCTTCCTTGGTTACCATATTTCTTGGGCACCAAGCGCCGCCACCCCTGTCTTGTCGCAACCTGAGGAACCGAGATATTATATCAGGAGTTATTACGAACGCTCTTGAAGGAAGTACGTCGCGTGAAGACACGCGAAGAACGCACACGTAACAGACGCGACGTATATGCTTGCGTGACAAACGCACGTGCATGTTCTCGTTATGCTTTCCTAGTCATCATTTTTTGAGTCGTGGTAACTACCACGCATCGAAAAGAAGGTAATAAAAGTGATATCCAAATGGAAAATATATATTATATGTATATAGGTATATACATATAACATATATTTTCCATTTGGATATCACTTTTATATTTATATCACATTTCGATTATCGTGGATTTATTATGTAGATGACATAATTAATGAATTTTCCATCCTAGTTTCTTTTCAAGATCAACAGCCGCCTGCGTGTAAATTAATGACGCGGCGATTGATTTACGGCGATCTTTGAATCTAAGCACGCTACCTCATCGAGGTATTGATTCACGCGGTATTGATTATGAATAACTTATTTTGCAACGAAGCTTTTATCATGATAGCAGTTTCTTGTGGACAGAAGAAAATGGAAGTAATTTTTTCAGGGCTATTGGAATTCGCGGAAGAGAGTAGGGAAGAGACTGTGGTTAATAGATTCTGGGAAGAGAAATTGTAATCATAACAAATGTATGTACAATTTTAAGAAAAAATAAAGCATTAAGAATTACAATAAAGAATCTATAGTTATAACTTCATATCAATTTCGATGTTCAATTGAAACTTTGTGCTATAATATAATAGTTTATTTTGAGATATATTTATGAAGATGAGATTTAAAAAGAGAATTTATTAAGAATATTCGTATATATATAAAAAATATATATATAAAAGAGTAATATATATTAGGTGTAGTAAAAAGAAATTCATTATTTTTCCATTCAATTTCATGCAACAATAATGGATTTCTTTTTACTACACCTAATAAATAGAAATATATATAGAAATATATATTTGAACTTTATTGATTCAAGTAGAATTAATAATCAAAGTGAACAAATCTGCAAGTAGTTATTCTATAGATAAATAATCAATTTTTTCCCAAATATATTTCTGCAAATTAAATTACACTTGAGACTTCTGTTGTTTCCACTCGTGTGGCATACTTACGCGTATCATACTCTATAAATCTGAACCAGTGGATAGTTACTAATTACTCAGTGGCATTGGATAATCGGTGAAATCCAACTAAAAAAGAAAAAATGTTTGAGCATTATATAATTAAAATACTGATATTTGTACATTAATTTCAATACCACATCTTCCAGTATCATACTCGTTGAATTTCTCTATTAAAACAAGATATTAGATCACAATAAAGATTAACTAGGTTAGAGATCTCACATTTCAGTCACTGATTACCAGTGGCATACTTTGCACTGATATCAGTGATTATCCACTAATTCAGATTTAGAGAGTATGTATACTACAAGATTCTGTATACAAATTGATAATCTTACTTTACATAATAAAATTGGATAAAAAATAAACGTTGAAAGTGATCGATTATTAAATTTGCAACATAATCTATGGAGTACTCAGAAGTTGTCGGAAGCGTAAGGTGTATTCTGCCAAGCACCTTAATTCCCAATTCTCTGAATTTTCAAAGCTAGTTGTTCTGACAATGAATCCGCTAAATTAAATTCCGGAAATATATCTTTCGTCAAGAATTTCGTGAGGCGTATTGGCTCGCTAATTAAATCTTAAAACGAAACTCCGCGCGAGTACGGTGATGAAGTTTATAAGAGACCGATGCGTTATTATCAGGTGTTATTTCCGACACGAGCTTGTCACAAGCACACATCCTAGAAATCTATTGAAATACATATATCTACGTACACGGTTGTGTCACAAAGGGAGAGAGAATCTCCATGGAAATATTTCAGCTGGTTCAGTCATGGAGGACTGCAATACATATAGGCGGTATGCCCGCATGTAAACAATAGACCAAGCGAAATCCACTGAAAGCATTTGCGGTTAATTAGGCAGCAATACTGTTAACAATGTCCTGGCTTCAGCAAGGCTCTCCGTAACCTTGCTTAGCAATCCATCGCAATCCGTAGTTATGCGGCTCGATGAACACGAGATTTCGTTTAAATAAAGTCACTCTATACACACACACACACACACACACACACACACACACACACACACACACACATATATATATAT